CAGAATTTACTTAGAACTGCCTGCAATTCTAGGTATAAATCTAACTCTCTAGTGTGTGTTTTTTCAAATCATTTAATCCATATATTGTTATCTGAGTTAATCTTGAATGGGAACCTTTTTTGTTCATTGATTTCAGGTAGAAGTCATTGATGAGTCAGTCACTGCACTAACTAGAGGTGGACGATCCGATGGGCTACAAGCTTGTCTCCTGACTAGGTGGTACACTGCTTGCAAAATTGGTTTCCTTTAAGAATCATGTGAGGAGCAATTAGAAAAGAAATGAAACAGCCAGATTTCATGCTAACATACTCAAAGAAACCAAAAGATTCTACCAAAAAAAAAACCTTCTAGAAATAATAAATGAATCCATATAGTAAGGTGGGAAGATATAAAAATACACAAAAATCAGTGGAATTTCTATTTCCTATTAAAATTTTCCACAGTAATTTTTCCATAATTTCTATTCCCTACTAATGAAACAGAACAAACAATTATCAAATTTATACAGAACCTCAAAAGGCCACAAATAGTTAAAATATCTTGAAAGAAAAGAAAAATGGAGGCTCACACTTCTTGACTTCAAACAATATTACACAGCAACAATAATCAGAACAGTATGTTACTGAAACAAAAACAGAACCTCAGATCAATGGAACAGAATTGAAAGCCCAGCAATAAGTCCATTTTAATATGGACAGCTAATTTTCAACAAAGAAATTATGACTACACAGTGGAGAAAAGTCAGTCATTTCAACTAATAGTTCTGGGAAATATGGATAGCCACATGCAAAAAAAAAAAAGTAAAACCCATATTTGACACCATATACAAAAATTCACTCAAAATGGGTTAAAGATTTGGACATAAGAACTGAAACCATAAAGTACATGGAAGAAAATATAGGGGACACACTACAGAACGTCTACCACAAGGACATATTTGGGAATACACACCAACAGCAAATGTCACAAAAGCAAAAATAAATGAGTGGGGCTATATCAAATTTAAGCTCTTGTGCCTCAAAAGACACCATCACAAAAACCAAAGACAACCTATAGAATGGGAAATAATATTTGCATGCCATACATCTAACAAGGGGTCAGTCTCCAAAATTTACAAAGTACTTACACAATCCAACAACAAAGAAACAAACGAATCCCAAAAAATGGGCAAAGAACCTCAATTGACACTTCTCTAAAGAAGACATTCAGCTGGTCTACAGAATATGAAAAAATGTTCAACATCACTTATTATGAGAGGCAAATCAAAACCACAATGAGATGCTACCTCACCCCTGTAAGAATGACCCATAAAATAGAATGGCATGAACAAATGTTGGTGAGGTTGTGATGAAAAAGGAACTCACATCCACTGATGCTGTGAATGCAAGTTGGTACATCCCCTGTGGAAAACATTATGGTGATATCCCCAAAAAATAAAAATGGAAATCCCATTTGACCTAGCAGTACTGCTATTAGGTATCTATCTAAGTAACATGAAAAATTTGATAGGAAAGGATCTATCTATACCTATGTACATAGAAGCACTGTTCACAATGGCCAAATCATGAACCAACCCAAGTGCCCTTCAACAAATAAAAGGATAGAGAAACTGTGAAGTGCATATTTATGGAATATTACACAGTTGTGAAGAGAGATGAAGTGGTGGCATTCATTACAAAATGGATTGATTTTGAGGTGATTATATTGAGTGAAATCAGTCAAAGAGACAGATAACATTCATCTGTGGAATATAAATACAAAAAACAGAACAATTACAAGCAAACAGCAGGAGGAATAAAATTCTGAACTCAGCAAAAAAGAAGATAATGGTTACTAGAGAGAATAGGAGAAAGGGCAGAGGGCATGGAGCACAGAGGAAGATGGGATGTGGGTACAGATGGTTTGGTGGAGGAAACTGAAAAAAAAAAAAAAAAGTGCTATCAATGAGAATGCTACCAGTTTCCCAAATTATGATGTGTGTGTGTATGGCCAGAATAGTTGGATTAATTTACAAGTGGGATAAGCTTGTATGTAGGGCAGGCACTGAAATATTTCTTTGGAAAAGGTCTTATGTTTATATTTTAAAAGCAGGATTGAAGGAGTCTTTATGGGGGGAAATGAATAAGAATTATTTTGGCTTCTTTTACACTTATCCTTTCTGTGGGAGGTGAAAGGATAATAGCCATGGAAGGTTCTAGAAGCCTAGCTGGGGACGTGGAAGGTGCTTTTCTGCACTCTCTCCCATCCTTGTCCTCTCCCCAGGTAGATGTCAGCATCAGTCACTTAGAAAGTCAAAGTATGAGCAGAGCATAGTGGAGGGAGCTTGTGCCTGTCCCAGAGGGTTTTGCACTGTGAACTTGTTGGAGAACAAAGTGCTAATTGTTCTTTGTTTGCTGAACCAGGCCTGGTGCCAACACAGAGCTGGCCCTGAGAAGCTTCCAGAACCTGTGACCAAGGACAGGGGACCAGTACTGGCTGCCTGCCACCTGGCTGTTCAGTGTGGCAGTGAGGACACAGAATAGACATAGTAGGTAGATTAGAAACTTCCCTGAACTTAAAGCGTTCAAAGTTTGTCTTATTCTTTGTCCTTTAAAGTGAAAAGGACAGAAAATAACTAGAAAGACGGTCCAATAATAATCAAACCAAAACACTGAAGCCCAGGAAGAGGGGAGATTTTATCATTGTACTTTGACTATGTAGACAATCTCCAGAGTAGGAGTCTTGCCCAAATGTCTAAACTCTTCTTGGCCTAAAGGACCTTTGACCTACAGCAAGGAGGAGGGGCAGAAAAATACCCAGACCCAGTTTACCCAGAATAATGCTTTTATTTGCAGAACAGTCCCAGGTGGTGAACTAGAGAGAGACAAGGGAAGGCAAGCGCCCTTCAAAGCAGTCCTTTCTGGAATGGAGAATGTGAGGATTTTGCCCCATTATCATTGGAAACTTTACAGATATATTTTACTGTTGTGCTTCCTGATGTCTGGACATGGGATGGGGGCAAGGTGGGGGTGGAGGGAACATTGAAACATATGTAAAAGAAAACATACTTTTCAAACACACACATATAAACCTACCATGGGCAGTTAGCTCTAGGTGGAGGGACAGGGAAAGAATCTTACTCTTTTTTTCTGCATGTTTAGAGTGCCTTTCCTACCTTATGTGTATACACATGTGTTTCTTTATACAAAGACTATACATGTCTAAAATTCAGGGGAAAAAAGCTAGTTGTATTGTTTAAAAAATGTTTTAAAAATCGCAGGTGTCTGCTCTTGCATTTATATTCTGGCTGGATGTGGGGTACAATGACCTTTAAACTGGTAGTCTCTGTGTCCCATCTCTGTGAGGAGAGGGAAGGGAAACATTTTTAAATGGACATTTCCTCATTAGCATGACTGGCTAAATAGTGAGCATTTTGATAGCATTTTATTACTGGAGCCTCCTAAAAATGCTAGAGGGATTTCTATCTCCAGAAAAATCTGCCGCGATTTCCTTCTGTTGTTTCAAGCATAAGTCCACCAAAACAGAGCCACTCTGACAAAATGCCACTAATTTTCTTCTCTTGGAAATGATGTTATTTGGTTCCTGTTTTTTAGCTCTCCAGAGATACCAGGCAGAAGTAGGTCATTACAGCATGTATTGGTTCTTTCATTCCTCCCAATTTGGTCCAGACAATTTGTCTGCCTCTGCCCCTTCGCCTTATTTCAGTCTCTAGTCCCTGGGTTGGAGCTATATTTGCACAGAAATATCAAGTGGCCAGGAGAAAGCAAAACCAAAATGAAAAGCAAAGCTCAAAACCTGTGCATTACCGGGCACTCATGTCACTGCCCTACTCCCATTTTAAAGATGAACAGACTGATGTAGAAAGTTTCTGGCAAAAGTAACACAGCTTTTGTTGTTAGGCCATTTCCTGTCTTAATAACATGGTAACAGTGACAGCTCCTGGTGACAGTGACACAGATCCGGGCACCACTGGGCACCAGAAACTGCCCCATGATGCCATCTGTGTGAAAGGCTACCCACACTGAGGATTTAGAGCCACTTTCTCAGCTGTCCTGCCCTCTTCACACCTCTAAGACTCCGTGGCAGCCACCTACTGAGTCCAAGTGGACTGGTGCCACTCGTGAGCTCCACTTTATTATCCTTTTTAAAAGTCATTTTAAATTACCTGTGAAATAAATACACACTCACTGTAAGAAAGTCTAACAACAGGAAAGAATGTAAAGTAAAAAGTGAAAATTCCCCTGAAGAGTCTGTCTCTGTGTGCTCACCTAGCCCCTCCCTCAAGACACATATCGTCTAACCCGGCTCTCTAGAGGTAACCACCGAGCCCATGAGCACACGCTGTCCAGCAGACCACTGTCAGAATGGTTTCTATGGATCACTGGCTGCTCTATACCTCCTGTTCTTCCAGTTCTTCCCATTTTAATGTTTCATAAATCTGAGGGCCTGGACCAGAGTAGCTCATAGTGATGACAACACAAGTTCAGGAGAGAAGCAAGTGGGTTGAACCAGAAGCAGAACTAGCCCACTGGGCCAGAGGGTAGAAAAGTTCATTCAAGCAGAGAGTGCCTGTGATCAGCACCTGGCCTGACTCGTTTTCCACCTCTGGTCCTCCTTTTTCATGCTCTAGAACCAAAACTGTGCTTTAGAAGGGGGAGTTTAGGAAACTCTTTCCAGCACTACCAGTTGGGGAGCAACTTTGAGTGCTTTCATCCTAAACTTTGCCTTAAGATGAAGAATACAATCCTGATAGTGAGAAAACAAACAAACTAACCTGCCCTACACTCTCCGGGGGCTCCCAACCAAGCGGAATCCCCAAACATCTGCCCCTGGGCCCCTATGTCAGATATATCAACACAACTGCCCCAGAACACGGAGCAATAGCTTAGAGACAGAGGGAATGAGGGGGCAGAGAAGAGATCTCAAGACTGGCCATGGAGTCCAGGGGGAGCTTTGGGGCTGATCTTGAGCATGCCCCCTCTGGGCCTCAGCAGTCTCACCTGGACAGCAAGTTGGATGCACTTACATGCTTTCTAAGGTACACTGCAGCTTTCACATGTGGTGAGTCTACGTTTTCTTCCATTACTGAAACAAGAGAAACCACATAGTTTCATTCTCAACCAGGCCACTCCTCCATGTTAAGATCAGGAAACGGCCTAACCACCACCATCCTGGCATTTGTTTGGTGATACTCTCCTGGCTGGGCTAACCGGTAATGAGATGAGCAGGTTCTCGCAGAGCAAACTCTTGGCTGATCTTCTTACCTAAGTTAGCCCAGGACAATCTCAAGTAGGCTATCAGTAGTATATCAAATGAAGACGTCTTACCTTTTCTACCTAATACACCATGGAGAAAGCCCTGGGCAAGGTTTAGGGTTTGAACTGCATTTTGTAGAAGAGAAAAATCTCTGTGCTCAGGGAATTGGCCTGGGTTGCTGTGCATCCTGGGACCATCCTGCTAGGTGAACAACAGATACAGACACGTGAAGCTGCTCAGATAGGAGACATTTAGGTTATAAGACTGTTCTGCTTCTAGAAAGTTTTCAAAGCATCCAGTATGCAAACACAAATGTGTCTCAGAAAGCCATTCAAAGGAGCACAGCACCATCTGACAGCTTCATAGTGTCCTCTGGGAAGGAATGGGTTTTTCAAATTTACTATTTAGAACTAAATAAGCCATTATACATCAAATGCATGGTTAAATTCAATAATCTCCCAGGTCCTTTTTGGTTTACACTTTCTTTCATCATTCATATACTTAAATATCCTTAGAAATAATAATTTTGTAGATTATATACCATTCTTAGAGATTACTTTTAATTTCAGTCCAGGTACCTTTTAGACATTGAGAAAAGAAAAAAGGAAAAAAAAAAGTGTGTGTGTGTGTGTGTGTGTGTGTGTGTGTGCGGTGTTGGGAGGTGAAAAGTAAGGTAACAGAAAAATAAACTCACATCCTATGTCACTTTCATGTTTTCTGCTTTGTTATTTGCAAAATGACTCAAACAATCTTCAAATTATAGGTTGAAAAAAACCAATAAATACATTTCAGAATTCAAAATGTATCGAATTTTTAAATTAATTTTTAAGTATGATTCAAGTAAAACAGGCATGAGTGTTGCTTCTAAATGTATTTATGTAAAATTTCACCTTATTCCAGAAAGGATTTAAGGTAGGATAATAAGCTAAATTTAAAAATCAGAGAAAAGAAAAACAAGGTTGGGACAAACTCCAACCAAAAAGTAAAGCTCAGTAATAAAGTTCTCCAACTCTCCCTGAGGAGACATATTCAACCACAGCATGAACTATCTAGATGATGGAGATGAATTTTTGAAAAATTTATCTCTTCTTTCATTTGCTCAATACTTTCTTAAAGACTTCTTTCATTTAAGCGTGTCCCCTGTGAGTATCACACAGCTTTTTGAGGTTGGTAAACAGAAATGTTTGCACTTTATAAGGGACTTGAAGAGATTAACTAATTTACCTGTTGTCACATAACTCATTTTGGCAGAAGTCACAATTATAACCTTTAAACAAAAGCATGGACTTCTGAAAAATTGTATTTATATAATCTCCTTTCCTGTAGATATTTCAGATTAAGAAAATCAACTACCAAAGGCCTCCCTGGTGGCCTAGGGGTTAAGTCTCAGTGCTATTACCACTACAGCCTGAGTTTGATCCCCGCCAAGGGAGCTAACCCACATGGTGCAGCAGACCTCTCCTGTTTCACCTGCTGCTCCCCTTAGCAGTAGATATGCTATTTCAGCAGTCTGCTATTTCAGTTAGTCAAGAATGATGGGAGTGAAGCAGTGAATTAGAAAGAACTGAGGTCCAAGAGATATTCAGAGGTGAGGGGATAAGGGGTATCATCAGCCACAGTAGGGTGCCTGAGTTAATTCTCAATACAGTGAAAGAACATTTGTGGGCCTGAGTCAGGGAGCAACAGGAAGTGATTTTTAAATGATAAAGTTATGCCTGGCTGCTGAGTAGAGACTAGACAATAAAGGGGCAGGACAGGAAGCAAGAAACTTAGGAGGTGGGCATGAAAGGTCCAGGGAGAAGTGGGGGTTAGTCTGAGGTGCTGTTGGAAGAGATTAGAAGCCAATTTGGGATAGCTTCGAAAGCAGGTGATATTGGGAGTCAGGCTGCGGTTTTAGGAAGTCAGGGGGGTTTTTAGCACAAAGGTTGGTCACCCAGGCAAGTGGGAGGGTTCTGTCAGCAAGCAGATGATGTTGGCGAGCAGTCACATGACACTAGCCAGAAAGATGGGGCACACCGGAGAACAGATAAATCATTCTGGCAATGGACCTGTCATCTCTTTGAGTAGCTGGTATTATGGGTGAATTGTGTCCTACCCCCTCGATTCCTTTGTTGAAATATTAACCTTCCCCTTTTCCCTGGCCTCCCCTCCATCATGTACTTTAGAATGTAACTATATTTGGAGACAAGTTCTTCAGAGAGCCCATTAAATTAAAATGAGCTTATATAGATAGGCTCTAATACAATATTACTGTGTCCTTATAAGAAGATATTACGGGCCTCCCTGGTGGCGCAAGGGGTTAAGTCTCAGTAATATGAAGCTATAGGCAGCCTCTGCAGCATGAGTTCAATCCCCGGCCAGGGAGGTGACCCACATGGCACTGCAGACCTCTCCTGTCTCACCTGCTGCTCCCCTCAGCAGTGTACATCATCAATCCGCCTGTTCTGTTCCCCACTCTGTCTCTGGTGAATCCTCTCACCTACCATACTTCTGGCCTACACCCCAGCTTTTCTATACATAAATAAATAAATCTTTAAAAAAAAAGAAGATATTAGAAGACAGACACGCACAGGAGAAAGACCATGTGAAGACACAAAGGAAGAAGATCTATACTCATAAGAAAACACACACACTGAGCCATGCAGTCCATGGCCCTTTGTTATGGCAGCCTAGGATGTTAGGCTACATGTTATGGTAGCCCTAGGATTCTAATGCAGATAGACAACCTCCGTGAGTATTGAAGAGGCCCTGCATAGTCTGAGCACTATAGCAAAGTTGCCGAGGGAGGCTGCTGACTATGCAGAAGACATGGGAGAGGGATAAGAAGTCCACGAGTCTTGTGGGGAATGATGCAAATCGCCGAATAGCCCTGGCAAAAACCCAGAATAACAGCAAAACAGCTCAACGGCACAAGAATGTCTTAGTACTGCAGATGAGTTAATGCAGAGAGGGAACTAAGAAGATAGGGGATTTTGGTGTGAAGCTTGTTGATTCCCTTGAGGCTGGACAATAGCAGGTGACCCTTGAGATATTCAGGCCTATGATTGAGAAGCTTTTCAGGGCAACTAGAAACCATGTAGCTGGGTGTCATGTGGTGTTGGGACCAGCTGACCAGCATGGATAATGAATGATACCACTATCTTGTGAAACAGCAATGGTGACAAGTCAGGACTTGACTGGCTTCTGGCAAAGGACCACAATACCCAGGGCTCCTGTACAAAGAGCAAAAATATCACATATCTAAGAAAATCAGTTAAATAATGAGTAGGATGCCCTAGGTTAAGAGAGGTAGATGGCATTCACGATAGGCCAGAAATAGGGCAAGACTCAGCCAGTTTTGCTCATGGCAAAGAAGAGAGGACAGTTAAACTCAGGAATGGAATTCAGTGTAAAATAATCCAGGGTAGTTCAAAGCAAATGTTAAATTACTGGGACTCTTGGGTATAATTATAAAAACGTCATGCCATTGCTTTCATCCTCCTCCTAATGAACCTGTATTGATTTATTCAGTGTGTCTCAGCACTGAAGAGGGCTGGGCTCTGACCCCATTGGTCTGAACTTTAGGGTTCAGTCATTGCCAAGACCCAGAGTCTAAAAAAGAAGCAACTGCAAAGACAATTTGGAGTTGGGTGTATTCTATTGATTATTAGTGTGTACCTTCATCAGTTAATTCTAGTTTTGGTGGTCTGTATATTGGTGAATTGGGCATGTTGGATCCTTGGGCTGTCAGAACTGGAAGGAGTGGCAGAAGTCACTGCAGCTCAGTCTCTAGAACCTGCCAGACTGAATTTGGCATTCAGTAGCTGAGCAGTCTTGGGCCAGTGTTTCAGTTGTCTGCCTTTTGTTGTTGCAGTGTTTAGGAAATGGGAAGTAATGACAGTGGTCAATTGAACTTTTTTGCCAAACTCTTGGGGTCATTGTCCAAGAAATGCAATAAAGCAAGTGATGTACTCAGCACAGTGCCTGATACATGATGTTAGTGATTATTATCATTATGACCAGAAAAATCTATTCCAACCTGAGAAACAATCAGGGGAAGACTGGATCAATTTATACAATAGCCAATTTAGTAGAACTTAAATTTTTGGGTGTTCTGGGCATATGATTATCCACTCCCACTTTGTTCATGCAGCAGGTGCATAACTGCTTAAACAGTAAGCAAGATGGACTGCCATTTAGATCAGATATGGAGTAGGTGGGCATCAGGAGAGAAGGGCTCCCTCATCCAATGTCACTGCCACATAACTAGGTCAGGTCAGGAATCAGGTCTCAGTTCTGACATTCCCGTAACACAGGAATAACATAGGCATAAGGAGCACACTTATTTATAAGAAAGTCAAGACAGACCCTTATGTAAAAGCACTTTGTCGCTATCAAGCACAAACACAATAAAAGTTTAATTTTGTACCCCAAAATAGATGATTAAATCAAGAAGATGTGGTATATACACACAATTCAATACTATTCAGCAATCAAAAAAGGTAAATTAATGTCATTTGCAGCAATTTGGATGGAGCTAGAAGGGATTGTGATAAGTGAAAAAAGTCAGGAGAAAATAGAAAAATATCAGATGGTTTCATTTATAAGAGGAATATAGGGAAACCAAATAAGGGATCAGGGAAAAAATAATTACAATAGAAAACATAACGAAAATAAGCAGGCAACTATAAATCAGAGACAATCTGCAGGGGAGAGGGAGGGAGAGGGATTAAAATGAGGGTGGAAAAAGCACAAGGGACTATAGTGATGGTGCATGGGTGAATTGGTGGT